AATTGAGGAGAAGATCCCATTTAGAGTTGCACCAAAAAATACAAGATACTTTGGAATAAACCTACCAAAGAGATAAAGAATCTGTACTCTAGATACTACAGAACACTTATGAAAGAAATTGAGGAAGACACAAAAGGATGGGAAAACATTCGATGTTCATTGATTAGAAGAATAAACATTGTTAAATTGTCTATTTTAAGATTGTTTAACATAGTTTAACATTGTTAAAATGTCTGTGCTGCCCAGAGCAATCTACACATTCCCTATCAAAATACCATCAACATTTTTCACAGAGCTGGAACAAACAATCCTACAATTTGCATGGAGCCAGAAAAGACCCAAATAGCCAGGGGGGTCTTGAAAAAGAAAACCAAAACTGGGAACATCACAATGCCTGACTTCAAGCTGTTTTACAAAACTGTGATCATCAAGACTGGCACAAAAACAGACACATAGATCAATAGAAGAGAACAGAGAGCCCAGAAGTGGACCCTTAACTCTATGGCTAACTAATCTTTGACAAAGTAGTAAGAATATGGAAATAATATAATATATATATATTATATATATATTATATATATAATGTAATAATAAATTATTTATTATAATTAATATTATAAGAATAAATAATGGAAAAAAGACCGTCTCTTCAATAAATGGTGCTGGGAAAATTTGACAGCTACATGTAAAAGAATGAAACTGGAGCATTCTCTTACACCATTCACAAAGATAAATTTAAAATGGATGAAAGACTTCAGTGTGAGACAGGAATATATCAAAATCCTAAAGGGGAGCTCAGGGAGTTACCTCTTCGACATTGGCCACAAGAACTTCTTACAAGACAAGGCCCTAAAGCCAAGGGAAACAAATAAACAAACAAACAAACAGAATTCTTGAGACTTCATCAAGATAAAAATCTTTTGCACAGCAGAGGAAACAATCAACAAAACTAAAAGGCAGCCTATTGAATGGGACAAGGTCTTTGCATATGTTAAAGCGCTAGCATTTGATAAAGGGCTAGTATCCAAGATCTATAAAGAACTTCTAAAACTCAACACCCCAAAGAACAAAGAATCCAGTCAAGAAATGGCAGAAGACATGAACAAGTATTTCTCCACAGAAGATATATAAGTGGCCACAGACACAAAAAAAAAAAAAAAAAAAAACGCCCAATATCACTCATTATCAGGGAAATACAAATCAAGCCCACAATGAGATACCACTTACCAACTGCCAGAATGGCTAAAATTAACAACTCAGGAAATAATAGGTATTGGTGAGGATGTGGAGAAAGGGGAGCCTCTTACAGTGTTGTGGGAATGCAGCTGGTACAGCCATTCTGGATAAACAGTATGGAAGTTCTTCAAGAAGTTAAATTGACCCAGCAATTGCACTAATAGGTATTTACCCCAAAGATAGAGATGTACTGAAAAGAAGGGGCGCATGAACTCCAATATTCATAGCAGCAATGTCCACAATAGCCAAAACTATTGGAAGGAGCCAGGATGTCCTTTGACAGATGGATGGATAAAGATGTGGTAGGTATAAACAATGGAACATTACTCAGCTATGAGAAATGATTAATACTTACCGATCACCTCCATGTGGATGGACGTGGAGGGTAATCTGCTATGTGAAATAAGCTAGTCAGAAAAAACAATTATCATATAGTTTCACTCATATGTGGACCATAAGAAACAGTTCAGAGGACTATAGGGAAGGGAGGGGTAAGTGGATGGGAAGAAATCAGAGAGGGAGACAAATCATGAGAGACTCTTATCTATGGGAAACAAATAAAGAACAGAATGGTAGATCAAAAATTCTAAAAAGGAACAAACAAAACCACAAGCTGCAGAAGGAATCAAATAATAGGCATCAGAGCAGAACAAAATGACATAAAGATTAAAAGAAGTAGAACAAATCAATGAAAGGATAAGATGATTCTTTGAAAATATCAACAATAGTGATAAACCTTTAGCCAGACTATTCAGAGAGACCATGCAAATAAAATCAGAAATAAAGGAAGAGATAACAACTGACATGATACCACAGAAACTCAAAAGGATGTAACAATTTATTTGAAAAGGTATATGCCAACAAACTGGACAACCTAGAAGAAATGGATAAATTATTAGAAATTGAAAGAGGCAAGCAGGAAGAAGAGAAAATTTAGAAGGCAGGAAGAAATAGAAAATTTAAAGAGACCAATTACCAACTATGGAATGGAATGGAATGGAATCAGTCATAAAAAACTAGGAACAAACATAGGTCTGCAACTAGTTGAGTTCACGTGGCATTCTACCAGAAACGTAAACAAGTTTCTAAAATTTTTCTAAAATATAGTAGAGGAAGGAAAACGTCCAAATTCATTCTATAAGTAATATTGCCCTATTAACTTAAAAAAAAAAAAAGTAGTGGAAGGAAAACGTCCGAATTCATGCCATAAATAATACTGCCCAATTAACCGAAAACAAAATTGTACAAAAAGAACTGGACATCAATGTCTATTATGAGCATAGATGTATAATTCCCAAAAATATTAGCAAACCAGCCCAATGATATGTTAATAAAACAATTCACCTTGATCAAGTGTGATTCACTCCTGGTATGCAAGGATGATACTGATATAGCAAATTACTAAAAGAAAAGATCAAAGCCATATCACTTCAGTCAATACAGAATAAGTATTCTTATTCTTATACATTCTGTATATGTTCTGTATATACAACATCCATTCATAAGAAAAAAGTAGGTGTAGAGAAAACATACATCAACATAAAGATCACATACGAGGGGCGCCTGGGTAGCCCAGTTGGTTAAGCCTCTGGCTTTGGCTCAGGTCATAATCTCAGGATCCTGGGATCAAGCCCCACATTGGGCTCTCTGCTCAGAAGGGAACCTGCTGCTCCCTATCCTTCTACTTGTGCTCTCTCAGTCACTATCTCTGTCTCTGTCTCTCAAATAAATAATATATATTTTTTTAAAGGGGTAGACAAGATGGCGGGGAAGTAGGAGGCACCATTTCAACCTGTACCCTAAAGTGAGCTGATTACCTACCAAAGAACTCCAATCACCCATGAAATCAGCCTGAGATCAGAATTGTACACGTCTGGATCTCTACAGGGGCAGAAGATGCCAGTGGGCAGGTAAAGCAAAGTGGAAACGTCGGACTGAAATAGGAAGATAAACAAAAGGGGGAGGGAGCCACCAGAGGCAACCGATTGGAAAGTAATACCTCAATACGAGAGTGCCCTGTGTTTGGGTACCAGCATTAACACAGAGTCTGGTTGAAAGCTCTCAAAAAGAGCAAAGGATCGCAGGGGGAAATTGAAGGAATCAGGGTGGCTAGCGACAGGGGCTTAAGTCCTCAGACCCAGGACAGCTTCCCGTGGCGCTGAGCCAGAGAGAATGCAGTGGAGAAACCGGGTCTTGGTCCCTGAGCCACCAGCGTGCCCGAGAAGGCCTGGGGCCCAGCTCCTGTGAGAGGTTGGGAGCCTGGCCAGCCAGCAGAACACCACTCTGTACTATCAGAGCCTGAGATGCTCGCGCCCCACACCCTGCCCTGAGAGAGGTGCGCGCAAACCCGGGGCTCTTAGACCCGGAAAGACCAGGCACTCAGAGCCCGGGCCAGCGGGAAAATCTCAGTGTGTGATCACTGCTTGGAACCTCTCTGGTGGTCTGGAGCTGCCCACACAGGTGCCGCTGCCATGGTTTTCAGTACAAGCAGGAGATCCTGTGTCCCCAGGGACCACGACTCGGAACCTGCTCTGCCAGCGGCCAAGGGGAAATTTATATGGGCACTGCAGCACCCGCAGGGGAGCAGACTGAGGCTTCTCTCTGAGAGGGAGGTCTGGGTAACGTTTGCTTTCCTCTAAACCTCCAAAAACCATCAAAAGCGGTCAAGGCGAGAGAAAAGAAGTGAACAAACATAACACCTCCAGAGAACAAGAGCCTGAAAAAACCAGTTTCCTCAGAGCCCACCCCTTGAGGGGGACGGGAGGACAGAACTCAGGGAACATCATTGACTGAAAACCCACGTGGCAGGCCCCTCCTCCAGAAAACCAACCAGGAAAGAAAAAAAAAAAAAAAAGACAACAAGAGAACAACCACCACTACTTCATAGATACAACTTTTATTTTTAACTCGTTCCCACTAATCTGGTTCTTTTTTTTTTTTTAATATACATAATTTTTTAACCTATTAACCATCACAGTGAGATGCCCAGTACATCAAATCCCGTAATAACCTTCTAACCTGAACTTTTTGATACATACACCTGTGTTTTACTTTTGCTTTT